TGATGTTAAAAGCACAACACTATATTTTTTAGGTTTTCCTTTTTGTAATGTTGACAGTGTTTAATCTATTGTGTTTTGATTGAAATAGGTTCAGTTACATGTCCGAAATATGTGACAACACATAATCAACCGTTATAATAAACAGTAGGTGAGGATTTTGTCTGAATGCCTGTGATTCAGCCGTAGGTCAGTAGGGGGCGAACGCAGGTATCGAAGGTGTATAAATATGAACTTCCTGGTTTTTCAGTAGTGTTTGTTTCCTGTCAGCTTGAGTGACAATAAACCTCACTCAGATCCAGAGTTCTGGTGTTGTATCGTTTAATTCCTTCTACAAATCATTTTATTTAACAATTGCGTTTCTAATATCGACTTCAGTTTATTGAATATGAATTTTCTTACACTTAAGTACAAAAAAAATCTGATACTTTAAGATTTTTACTCAAGTAAAATTCCTAAAGGAGACTTTAACGTTTAGCAAAGTAATTTTTTAGTAAGATACAACATTTACTCAAGTATCACTGTGTGGTACTTTATACAACACTAGCTGCATTACCTTTGACCGTGAAAATCACATCTTCATACTTGAGCTCTTAGTTATTATTATGTAAASCACGCTCTCTTAGTTCCTCATTTCCCTTTTTAGCTTTAAAAACTCRTTTTAGTTTTCATGCTTAATTGATCATTTAGAAGTATAAATAAGTAAATCTGTCTCAAAGTGCAGTAAAGTTACAACAAATGTGTTTAACAAAACAAATGCTCATTTGCTTCCGTGTTTACTCAGATTAAAAACCAAAGTGTTATGATTACCAAACTAAACAGACCAGTACAGCTCCTTGTCTTAATTAAAATTTAAATTATTAATTTCCATAAATTTATATTTAAAGAAGCTTGTTAATTTACATATATTTAGCTTTTTGTTCTTGAAGTGGAACATGGGAACAGAGCAGAGCKTGAAGCCACATCAAGGCCGGGTTCTTTACAAACTGATGCTGAGAAATCTGCCTGCTAGTCTTTATTTAAATATAAATTTGATGACATTTATGGAAATGTTGAAGAATCAAGCCTAGATAAGATTCATTTACTTCCTATCAACCAGATTTGATTGTGTGCTCTTAGGTCGGGTGTTTTGCTTATCTAAAAGCTTGGTGCCCTTTTTCACTTTCCTTCCTACAAACTAAAGACGGTGCTTCATTATTAATGCAAAGCCTTGTTAGCGTGCTGCTCTCAGCTTCTCACTSCTCAGTGTCAGCTCCTACAGGGAGCAGAGGAAAGTGGAAAACAGTCCACACAGTAATCCACAGCAGCAGAAATGGAAAAGGGTTGTGTGTGTGTGAAGGCTGGTGGTAAATGACCGTACGGGGCAGTCCTCATGACTCAATAAATGTTTCACATAAAACATCAAAACTAATATTTATCTGTGGTTTGGTTGATTCTAATAATTATCTGAATTCTTGCTGGTCATGTATCAGTGTCATTCCATCGTGCCTTCTCGTTAATAGATCACTGTTGTCGTGCCAGATGCACAGTGTTGTGTGTGTGTGTGTGTGTGTCACTCACGTTGTCAGCAGCAGGGGTCTTACTGGGTTTACGGTATGCCAGCTCAGCCGGATGACATCAGCATTTCTGCAGATAGTGTGTGCATGTGTTCTTGAAGCTGGTTGTGTGAAGGTGCACATTTAAAGCAGCGTGGATCGTTACTAATAACACAATACTGCAAAACAAACTTYACTGCAAGTTTTAAATTGGTGTTTTTTTTATCAGTTACTATTTTTGTGCGCATTGGGCCTCATGCAAGAACCGTTGGTACACACAGATTTGTTCTTAAGTTGTGCGTACGAGTGATTTAGGAGAATTTGTGGC